AAGATTTAGGGGCTGGGGAGATGGCTCAGTAGAACAAGCACTTGCCTGGCAAGTGCAAGGGCCTGAGTTCAATTCCCAGTTCCGCAAAAAAAAAAAAAAAAAAAATTAAAATATGTTAACTGATAAGATTTGGGGGGTACCAAATTTGATTTCTAGATTTTAATACAAATTTTAGTTCTCTTATAAAATTGGAAACTTAATAATTTTTCATCTCCCTTCTTTTATGGTACTGGGAATTGAACCCAATAGTAGAGCTAGCATGCATATGCACATGTCCTAGCATGCACAAGGACATGGGGGTTCAATCCCCAATACCATGAAAAAAATTACTGAGCTATAGGCATTTGCATTCTCCTTTTTTTGGCTATCAGAAGAGGAAAGAGCCTTTCTGGCACAGGTGATCATCAGGTTATCAGACTGGAGGGCAAGAACACTGGCAGAGCTGATCTGCAAATGAACTGCTCAGCACCTTGAAGTATGAGGAAGGGCAGGGTAAAGAAGGGAAATTAAGATGGGGAGAGAGTGAAGAGGAGACAAAAGGGACCTATCTGGAAGAACAAAATTCAGCAGCTACATATGAGGGCAGATGCTGGGCCAAGGGACCTTGACAGAAGACATAACAACTACACCTGTGTTGTTTTCTCCTTACAACTCATCCTGTCTCTAAAAGAATGATCCTGCAGCAAAGTCCTACAATGCCCTTCAAAGGTTTAATGGGGAGGAGACTTTGTTCCCTGTGAATGTGACTTCATAGTGCAGGAGTCAGAAACACTGTCTTGCTTGCACTGCATCAGCTGTGCAGACTCCTAGCTCACCACTGCCCAGTGTCACTGGCTGCAGCCCAGAGGTCAGGAGCACAGGCCCTGAAGCCAGACCATCTGGACTGGATTGCCACCCTGCTACTCATTAGCTCTGTGACTATAGGAAACTCATCCATTTCCCTATAAAAAAGAGTGAAACAGTACTACTCAGAGAGTTCGTATAAGAAATCAGTCACTTCCTACAAAGAGGTTACAACTGTATCTGTCATAGGCACTATACAGATGCTTAGTTCATACAATTAATTAAAAATACATATAACCATTCTAGTAAAAACGTTAACCTCCTCTCTGCCCATGTCTCCTTTAAACTCCCTTCTCTTCTGAATTACAAAGAAATTCAAAGACATTACATCCCCTCGGGGCCTGGGAGATGGCTCAGTAGAATAAGCACTTGCC